GGGCGATGGCCTTGAGGTATTATCATCGGACTAACCAGCCCAGGTAAATTCAATATTGTGTCTAATCTGACATCGGGTGCCCTTTTCAGCCCAGGGTGGCCTTGATTGCCTTCAGGGAACCCCCAGCGGGGGACACCGGCCAGGGGACAGCCGGTGGCAGAGGGACCGAGCATCATCTGAGTGCCCAGTGGCTGTGCCTCCCCGATTACCCCTCCCCCTATGAACATCAGCAGAAACTGCTTTTTAATGCCAATTGGGGGGACCAACGTGCTATCTCTAGGTGGCGGGGACCAAGCATGTCCAGGAAGGTACATGAGGCCAATGGGGATTGAACCCAAGACCTCCTGAATGCCACTTGCGTGCCTTACCAACTGAGCTAGGCTGCTGGATTATGTTGTAGATTCTGACAAGGCGACGCTTCTTTTCTTTTTGTCTTCTTGTACTTTCTATATTCCGACAACCAGGTAACGGGGCTGATAGGCCCTCACTAGGGGCATGCTCGCACTACCACTGGGGAGAATGTATCTAACTGCATTCACGTCCCTAGGGTTGTTTCTTTTTTTCCTTCTTTTTTTTTTTTTTTAATGCTACTGGTTCTTCCAGGGTTGGGCTGTCCTGCTACTGGTACGAACAGGCTCGGCTGGCTCGGCATACCGGTCGCCGGAGGGTCGGCCTGCATAGCTGGGCCAAGTACAGGTTGCTTAATGATTGATGGTCAAGCACCTTAAACCACCAGTACTTGGCCCAGCTATTAATGCTGAGCCTGGAATCCCCCTGCCGAAGCGATGGGGTACCGTTTCATTTTTCTTTTGGCTGGCGATTCCAGCCATTGAGGTACCCCGAAACCCTAAATCCACACTGCGTTAACGGGGAAGCGCCACGGCCGATAGCTGGGCCAAGTACTGGTGATTTAACATAGACTGTTCCCTCCTGACACCGATCCGTTGGTTTACGGATAAGAAATCTAAGCCCGCAAAAATTATCTCCCTGCACACCGCTATCTGCCAACAAATGATTGGCTGGTGGACTGCACCAATCTTGAGCAGAAGGGCCTGGCACTGCCGTAGTGCCAGCGATGCCTGAACCTGTTCCCCTCGCAAGAAGGAAGAGAATCGAGCACATCTTTATGCAACGCAGTATTGCCCACATCGCATGGAGGTGGTGGGACCGCATTTGGCCGAAGATGGTGATCCACATCCCCTGGCCTTGGTCATGGCAGGCTATTCTGGCTGGTTATTGGCCCTTGACAGGGGAAACCACGGCCTTTGTGGAGAACATGTACAGGCTCAGAAGGAGGGTGGTGCTGTGGGCGCTCTGGTGGCAGAGGTGTATCCTGGCTCTGAAGAAGGTGAGGATACAGGGGGTGGAGATCGCAGAACAAATCCAGCAGCAAGCACAGCTGGAACTCACACCGAGATGGTTGGACACGAAATCCCAATTAGACTTTTTCAGACAAGTTGCTGATGCCAGGAGAGTGATTACAGCACTCTGCACAGATTGGCTGGGAAGGGAGAGGAAAGGGTGGAGAGCCAAGGTAGAATGGAGTGGGGACAGGGTAGATGGGCAACAGGATTTGGAAAGAATGAGGGACTACTGATTAGTGTTCAAGGATTGAATACACGTGGAACCCTGGTTCCCGCTACGGCCTCCCTCGGATTTCCCACACTCGGAAGTCCGGATATAAGTACCCAGTGGTATCCACATTCTTTCTGCTCACACACCATGTGCACCCATAGATGGAACCCCTTCCTGGTGCCCCCCATTGAGGACTCCAATGGCGGCCTGATACATACAAGCCTCACTCTGCATTTCCTTTATCTGCTGCTCAGTTAACCCCCCAGCTCCCTGGGGCAGTCAATGCTGGCAGCCATGACTGAGTTGCTGTTCAATACGCGTCATCATTCTCAAATGTGCACAATTGGGACACTGGACCCGGTTTCCAGCAGGTGCAGCTCCCCACCAATAGAATGGAGCACCCCGGGCAGCTACTAGGGGAGGCTGCGTGTATCACCTCCCCTAGCAGCAGGCTCTCGGTTTAACCACAAAAAAAAAAAAGAAAAAAAAAAAGAAAGATAAGATAAAGGAAAAGAAAAATGTTCCTGCTTCTCTGGCGGTCCGGGTTCGCCTTGCTCATTCTCAAGGGACGCCAAGTGTGGTTCCCGGTCTTCATTCTAATTCAGCCTTGGGCAATGGGCCCCCTTTTTTAACAAAAAAAGGAAAAAGAAAGGGAAGATCCCATCTGTATCCCATTTAAAGATGGGAATACCCGCTATACCCAGTCCCATGCCAACTTGTACCTATACCCACAAAACAGCAGGTGGAAATTATTTGCATGCCCAGGATGAAGGTGGACCCTGGTTGGTACTGCAAAATTGCCGTTATGACCAACTACCGCAATGTACAAATTATGGGTATACCTAGGCAAGATTACGGCCACACCCGGGACTGAGGAGGACTGTCCAAATTACTCATATACCCTACCACCGGATGGATGAAATTATGCTCATACTTGATAACCGTTGGGCCACAACCCAACGGTCCACATGGCGGGCAGGAGCACGATTTTGTGATCCGACATCCAAGGTCGGGCACTGGGCAGGGGTACACCCACAATTTGGCAAGCCCGTTTCTGGGCATGAAGATAATTTCGTGGTCCAGAACCGAGGGCCTGCATGACTGGGTATGCCTACAATTTTGAACAGGGGAAAGGTTGGGTACTATGCAAAGCTGACTGGGGTCTAGGTATAGATGCAAGTTCGGGCTGGGACTGGGTTTAGCAGGTATTCCCATCTTTAAACATGAGGGAAAAAAACTGGGGCCTGCTTAAGGAGGATGCTCTTATCACCTGGTTAAGCAAGTCTCCAGGCCGTGTGTTTCAAAAAAAAAAAAAGATGAGGACACCATCTACAGATACAATTTTCCCCAAAAGAAAAGCTCTGCACATTTTTTGCTCCCGACTCTTACCAGTAGGCCCAGGACCATCTTCATCAGTGCCCCAGGCTGAAGAAAATGTGTCAATTCCGTACCTTTACAAAAAGGGGAGTGGCGATTTCGCGGGGAATGAAAACAGTTGAAAACACAACAGACAGGAAACCATCAGCCAAAAAAAAAAAAAAAAAAAAAAAAACAATCAGCCATCAGGTTGGCACCAGGCAGTTCGCCGGCTTTCATACTTCTGCTTCTGGCCTTGGGCAGCACAAGTGAGACAACAACCACGACCACAACCATCACTGTAAACTGCTAAACTGTCACATCTGCTCTTTCTGCAACCCTCTCTACGTTCCCACTTTTATGAGTTGCAGTCAGAGCACAACGACGATTTATTCCAGTGCAGTGTTGTGTCATTGAACATGCCTTTCAATGACGCACAAGTACTACACGTGGCACCTTTGGGGGTGCAGCACTCTCCTGGCTTTCCCTTCAACTGTGGAAGTCCAGCGAAGGATCCCCAGCAGTCATATCAAGGATCCCCAACAGTCAGATCAGCTGTGAAAGTCCACCGCAGGACCCCTTCGTTCAGATCACATGCCACACAAGTGGAGAATTAGGACATTGGGTCTCGTTAGACACTCCTAAAAGAATCCTAAAATTTTTAGGACAGTCATCGTTTAGGACCAGTCCTAAAAGAAAGTCGTAATTAAAAAGAAAAAAAGAAAAGAAAAGAAGTCATGCTTCAGGGTTTCTGCCAATAGGGTGCACCAGGAGTCCAAGACAAGGGTGCCATACCACGTCTCCGTCAAACGCGGGAATCCAAAAAATTTCAGTAGGTCGGGGGCTACTGAAAAATTTAGGACGAATTTGCCTGGGGAATCCTAAATTCTTTAGGATTCGTCCTAACGCCGTTTTCACATTTTGGATCTCGAAATCGGATTTAGGATCGTGTGCAACGACGTTGCAATCCTTTTTTTTTTTTTTTTTTTTTTTTT